AAATACAAATTCGCACTGATAAGAAACAGCGGAAATATACGCAAGAGCATTTTATTTTTTCAAGAGAATCGTGTGTTTTAGCATAAAATGAACCATATCTTAACTTAAAACTGCGACACCGGTGCTGCTTTGATGATGAAACATACATATATGAGGCTCAGAAAAGTTATTATATTTATTTCCTAGCTTGCTACCCATTTATATTCACCGCATTGCTTTCTGTCGAGAATTCAGCACAAATACAAAAGGGCAAAACACAATGAAAAAAAATACCATAAAATACCATGTGCCTACATGGCAAAATTGTTTCGGTGACTTCCGGTTTTGGAGTTCGGTTCGAGTGAGTTCATTATTCTTTTTGTCGCCTGTGCTGCTAGTGGAAGTAGCAACACCACGCCACTTGAAGGCGGCTCCGGATTTCGGTGCTTGGACACCAAGTTCCGGAAGGGAAGGGATGGGCGACGGGCGATGGGCGATGGGCAGGGAATTTACAATACATATACGACAAAACTATGCGATGAAGCGTGGACTCCGATAGCCAGCCAGAAATATTAGTAATAATACTTTTATAATAAGTGAAGCTGTTCCGTTGTTGACTGACGACGATGACGACGCTTTGCTATGCGAAGGTCACACAACCAGCCGAAGCCACATACATACATAGATATGTATAAAGCACAACTGCTCCATGGAGTGACGATAACGAAAGCTAGACCAAAATCGAGGGGAAATACATAGTTAGTGTGGGCGAAGTAAAAAGCGAGTAGGCGCTACTATAAGTCCAGAAGACGAGGGAGAAGAATGCGAAGACTAAAGGCAGAAAATGATCGAAAGAAATTTCCATAGAATAAATTAATCAAAGTGATCCGCAATGTAAAAACAAACGGAACTTATCTATCCACTCGTCCAAAGACCATAAAGTCGCCCATGGAGCGATTGCTTCGATAGTATTTCTGAATGTTCACTAACTTAAAAACTCGTTTTGATCTCCTAGCCGCGTTGCGCATAGTCACTTATTTGTATAATACATTCAAAGCAAAGCAAATGGATCTAGTTTGAGCAGTTCTTTAAAAAGAATCTTTATGAGCTAATCTATTATTAAATTCCAAGTAAGTCAACGGATGTGCTATAACAAATTTGTCAACCGAAATAAATGAAAGACCGTGTATATAATCTATAAACCACATTTTAAACCTTATGATGACTTCCTGTCACATACTAAAACTAGTTTGTGTTAAGTTATTTGTTAAGAAAACAAATGTATCCCAAATAAAAGAAGAGAATGGTCAATTGCTCAAACGTTGGAAATGTAAGACTTCTTAGCTCGATAAGTCCACATGGCTATTTATTCTAATTAAGAATTATACCTTATATGATAGTTTTATATCCAGCCTTTTGGCGAAATGTAAGCACGAAAGCAATGATTTCTTTTCTAAACGCAATAGATAGAACCGAATAGAGAGTACTGCCGCATACGTAGTATAGTTATATAGAGTTGACGCGTGCCACCTGTCCCTGTATCGTGGATACAGTCCCCCCAAACCCCTCGATTATCCAATGCCCGACATTCAATTGCGCAGCGGCGGCAGAGAACAACAGATAATTGCATTTACAATATTGCCACAGTTATGTCGATTCCTTATGGTTTGTATGGATTGTATGGGTTTTAGGGGAATGGGGTTCTTTCAGGGGGCGTTACGTGGGGCGGGGAGGGGCGGTGCAGCAAGCATGTTCGCTTAACGATCTCCGCGACTCATGTTTATTTATGAGTTGCCAATCGAATCAATTCCACTCGGCTCGACTCGACTCTGACTTGACTTGAATCGCTTCCAACTGTTGTTTTGCGGCTGCAAAATGCAAATTTTGGACAAAATCCATGGCATACATATGTATGTATATATGAACGTCTGTATGTTGTGCACCTGTGTTCCAGATAAACGTAGTGCCATCCTCTCCTTTTAATTATTAGCTAACATAAATGGATATGAGACTCGTATGTCGTCTGATTGCCCCATTTGCAGTTGGATCTTTGTATTTTAACTGTTGGAGATCATTCAGCTTTATAATACTTTGTACGTTCATATACATATACCTGACTTATAGACTGTACTGCATATGTACCATCAATTGTTGCATCATACAAATATATATATTTACTAAGCTCTTCATACTGATCAGGAACTCGTGTTTTGTAATGCCACAAACACAACCCTTTACCTGTTGCATACGCTTTCCCAAAGACAATACACCCCTTTCTGAGCGAGTAATTGAAATAGAGCCCCAGTACGAACCCGTATTTTGACAACACCTGTAGAAGAGGTCGCATACGATTAGTGTACTCATATGTAGTATGGGCTGGGTTCCCATAGATGGCATGGCATGCAGGTCTAGGGCAGTGCCAGAACAGACGATGAAAGCCACTATCAAATGCCGTTCAAGGCCGTTTCCAATTGCGTGGCAGGCAGCACAGGTTCCACACATCGGTGTGTGTATTTTTATTAACCAGCTGAAGTACGTGTGTTTCTGTGTGTGTGAGCCTTCGGAGGGGGTGCGCACATCCCAAGTGCGCAAACCCAGGATTGCAAGCTTTTCGGATCCGGAAAAACAATACAAACGGCAGATTCGGTCATTCAGGGAAGCAAATTGTCAAATGAGCACCGCTTATTTTATTGCTCATTGAGGTTATTATGTGTTTTAATAGATGGCTACTACCCTAGTTATGTGCTCAATGCAAAGGCAATACGATAAAATACTCATCTTCTAAGATGCGTTTTTACATTTACGCATTACCCATTAACATTACGAAGCACGAGTGTCATTTCATCATCATCCGGAAGAATCGGGAATTACCTACGAACCGCTAGGCCGTGTATCTGCTCCTTTCCCTAACATTATTACCATATAATAACAATAATGAGAGAGAGAGACGATGGTGACCAAAGTACACTGGAGAAAATAATACTTTTCGGCAAGCAAAATAGGTTCTGTAGCATTACTAGCAGATACGAATTATACGCAGTGAGGTCTGTTGGGGATGAGAAGCAAAAGGTGCAAAACGTCATACGCAAATCACTTGTGAGTAGTGGGAAGCTGCTCCTTTTCTCTCAGTGCGACAGAGAGAGTGAGAGCGAGCGGCCGGCTTAGGTGGAGGCAAGTGGGCAGGGAGCATGAAATTGAGAGAAAAGAAGGATAAACAATCCGCAGGATATGGGACGGCACTGTTGCTTCGCAAGTGTGTGTGCACGTCCTGACCGCGTGCACTCACGCCGTGTGTGAGTGTGCGAGCAAGAGGGGACTAGCGATGGTGTGAGTGACTAGCAACAGCCGCCGCGTCTTATTGACATTAAAACCGCTGCTGCTGCCGCTGCTGCTGCCACCGCCGTCGCCAGTCGACTTCACATATACCCGCTCTCTCGAGTCCTTCCCCATACCATGCCATCCCATCCCATCCCTTCCTGGCTCGCTCTTCCTCTTTTATTTTTAAGTAACACCCGGCGCAGATGCTAAACAAGACGCCAGGAATTAAAGTGCAAAGGTGTGTGCTGCAACAACAACAACGACAACGACAACAACAGCGTCCTCGACAGAAGGACGATACTTTGGCGTTGTACTTAGCGTCAACAGAAGAATACGAAGACAAGGGCCGCGAACAATGTGGGCAAGGATCTAAGCAGATATGTACATATGTACATATATGTACATACATATACCAACTGTTCCGAGCGTCCATATGGTGCGGATTTAATCACGCACACACGTTCGCATTCATGAAAGGATATCGGATATACATAGAGTATCAAAAGGAACCGCTGCGCAGGATGGGAAAGCGATTTGATCGCTAATCAAGTATATAAGTGATACATATCATTGCCGAACTTGAAACTAAATGTGTAGTACTGAACATTGCGAATCAAGTAAAAAAACACGCGTTATGTGTACGAATAAAACACAAGATCACTTAGAGATCTTTCCTGTGATGAAATCATTCAAGAAACAGCCACTTACATATCTCTCGTGATACTATCATATCTACTGATCTACTGAGCACTCAAGATTTTTTATAAGAACTGTGATCTAAGGAGGGAATCTGGTGGAAACAAAACGGACTGTTTCGCAATCTAGTTTCAATCAATTGTCAATATTGTCCCATTGAATATTATAAGAATGTGAATTTTGTCTCTGGTTTTTATTATCGATAGATTCAAAAAAACCGAAAATGCAATTGAAACACCGCAGTACAAAACGACATTCATTTCAATTAGTTTCGAAATTAAGTTCATGGGATAATCTAAACGTAAAAACGGGGAAATATTTTATTTTCATTAAATTTTTATTAAAATTTTAATAAAATTTTTAAAGTATTTTCTTGCAATGTGTTTTATGAATTTGCTTAAGCTCAAAATTACTTTTTATTGGCTACCAAGATGTTAGATATACAATAGACATGTATAATTGTTCAAGACCTAAATAATTGCATCAGAAATTTGAAAAACCGTAGGTAAATCTACATTATTGCCGAGTAAAATAGGAATAGATAAAGCTGGCTGTTGTCAACAACTATCAGTCTAAAAAATGAAAATAAAAACAAACAGAAACGCAAAAAATTGCCGAATGGAAATTTTGTGGCACGCAAACTTGTTGCTCCATCCGTGTGAGTGTGATGTGTATGCTAGTGTGTGTGAGCCAGTCTATGAGCGCGCGTGTGTGTGTGCGATTAGAAGCTTACTTTGCGATGTTTAAATAATAAATGATTTATTTATTTTTCGGTTTGTTTTTGTTTTGATTTCCACCGGGCTGATGCATTTTGCTGCCCACTTTAGCGAGAAAACGCCGAACTAATCGCTTTCGTTATATGCATTTATTATTATTTTTTGTTGCTTTTTTCATGTCACCAACAGAAACAGAAAAAAAAAGCGAAGCACACTGAAAAACGCGCGCGTACACTTGTATGTGAGTGTGTGCTGGTACTGGCGCGCGTGTGAGTGTGTGCGAATTTGCAAGAGACGGGGCGTATGAGCAATGCCGTGGCGAAAACTTTGCCACTTTTGTTGTCTGCGACGAAAGCAAAAACAGCGAGACACCGTAAAAAAGACAAGTAATATAAACACAGCTTTACATGCGCAGTTTTTGTTGCTGTTTTTATCCGGCTGCTGTGGCGTTGCACTGCGTATTATTATTTTTTTCCTCTTTTTTTTTTTGCTTTACTTTTTAGAGCGTCCGCGTTGCGGCGACGCGTTGTATGCGGTTCGAAAGGTAGCGCAGCACTGGCGCTCTACCGCCAATTCGAACAGCTGAGCGCCTGCCGAAGAGTGCCGAAGAGAGCCGAACGCCGCAGCTCGCTCTCCGCCCTACCACTACCACTGCAGTAGCTGTGCGCTGGTGTGCTGTAAACGCATTTACATTCCGCGCCCGAATTTTTCGTGCTTTTCCCGTGTTTTCCCTGTGGGCCATCGTTTCGCTGCTGGTTTGGGCCAACACTTGTCGCCTCTTGGCCATTATGCAACGACAGCGAAACGAAGGGGCTCACGACGGGCTCACGAAGTGGACAAGCTGCTCTCTGATTGGTCGCTGGTCAGCGCCACGAGGCCACCCGAAGTGCTCGCTCTCTCTGCCTCTCTTCTGTGAGAGATGAGATAGAATAGAAAAGCCAAAACACTAGAACAATCCAGAAGCCAAGTTTTCCGACTTGCACATACGCCGTATAATCTGAATTTTTTTTGCCAACTCTAAGCTCTAGTTTAACAGCTTCATTTTACAATTTTTAATAAATTAATTTAATTTTTGCCGAGAAATCGTTGTACTATAGTGCCCTATAGAGAAATAATAGTAAGACCACAATTCTCATTTAATAGCTTTTAAAATGCGCTACAATTGGAAAAGCACATTAAAATATACACATTTTCAAGCAATATAATTGTTATATATATATTCCTCATTATATAAGCATAAACAATGAAAATATTCTAGTTAGTTCTAGTTATTCTTTTAATGCTAGTACATGTAATTTAGTAAAAGACCTAAGCACAAATACCGGTTAATCATTTTTGGGTATGGAAGCAACCGCATGTGACCGAAAAGAATGTTTGGGTATTGAAGGCGTGAGATTGGGCGGAGTGACCAAAACATTGCCAAGGGAGCCATCAGCATCCACATTCACATCATCGTCAGCGTCGAGAGCTCTTTCGATCGAAATGTATTTGAATTGAGTGCGATTCGCAACAGCAAGACGAGGATACAAATTTCAGAGCAATTGAACAACTAATGAATGCTATTCCAAGCGAAAACCAATGAAAAATTTCTGCGCACTCTAGCAGCCTCCTATGTAAAGTGAGATATTATCGTTTTCCCAACTTTATTTTCCAAGTAGAAGTAAATATTTTAAAGAACTATCGTGCCTAAGGCATTGTGATGACTATAAATACACTGATTTGCTGATAAGAATCGTGAATTCAGCTCATTATAGTCTCAAAGTACTTCTTTGTGAGCACTTTGTATTGCCACGCTTCGGTTGAAGGGCTTTTTGACTTTCTTTCTATTTTCTCTAGTTGATAAGGATAAAAGGGGTTTATGCTCGAACTATTGCTCTACCTAACAAGTTACAACAATAGTTACAAATAATACAAGGCAGAGAAATAAATGTTGTATAGAGTAAATAATAAAGATATATGTACTTTGAAATTTCCACAAATATCGCAGCAATGTATTGGAACGGTAGCTTTTAACTGCACCCAGTTGGCCAGCAAACAGGGTATCTTTGAGTCGGGAAACTCGACTATATCGTTCTTTGTTGCTTATAAAGAAATCCGTTTGCCGGTTTTTTTTTCACAAACACTCACAAACCCAACTGATAAGATAGTCATAGAAACCGGGAACTATACGAAAGTACGGGCAGAAGGAAGTGGGTACGGATGGGATCGAATTCAGCGCGTGCCCAAATGTCCCGTTAATGAATACGTTTGTGTGCTGCAGTATTCGTTTTTGTGAGTTTTGGATTTTAAAGTGACCACAATGAGTCATGCGAATGAATAAATCACAGCGGGACCCACATCACATTTCATCGAATTTCATCATAGAATGGAATATATTGCACCCGTCAAAGTATTTACATATATACATTTATGTGCATTTCCGATCTTGATTCGTTTGAAAGCTGCTGGCTTCGTATTCTACTATAAGCAAGGTCAAGTTCAAATACATATGTACGTTTGTGTCACTTTAATACATTTTCTGTTAAACCATACTGCATTTTGTATTTAAGGAATGGTATGTTCCTTTCCAAAATTGACAAGATTATCTGTAGATTCGTGTAGATTTGCCCCATTAAGGGCGGGCAATCCAAGCCGGACGCGTCGGAGAAAGTTTTTCGGGAAGAAAAAGAGAGCTTGGCTCAATTTCGAAGAATGGAGCGTAGAGTGGCTAAAACGGCGCCGTATAAATGGCCAGAGATGGAGTGAAAGGGATGGCTTGTGCGGGCCAATGTCTAATTTTCTTTATTTCCCAATGCATTTGTGTTTGTTGATGCGCCAAACCTATCAAGCTCTTGACCATCCATTGTTGGCAAACTTGTTTGACGCCAACACCACCACTGCCCCCTCTGCTCCCCCTCGTTACTTTCTCTCGCCGCTCTTTCTCCGGCGATAATTTGGCTCTTTCTCCAGCCGAAAGAGCCCGGTAATTGAGAGTGGATAAGTGGGATACCTTTCGACTTTTGCGGAGCGCGAGATTTTTTTTGGCACTCCGAAAGCCGGACGCGACGGACTTTCGGAACGGAAATGAAAACGGACACACATGACAGCCAACAACACTGCGCGATAAGATAGAGCGTGGCGATCGTACACCGGAGAAATATGTGTGTGCTTAGATAGAGATATCTAAGCTGTAAGCGACCAATAAAAGGTATACTTTAGCGTCGCTTCATTTGAAAATAGAATTCTTCCTTTTACTTCGGAGGACTGGACAAACTCCAGTCACATCTCAATTAGGACAATTTCAACGTGATTTCGCAATTAACACTTAGGAGTGATGTGAATTAACTCTTCCCACGCACATTTTCGCTGGGAATATAACGTTTTAGAGGTCGCATTTGATTATATAAATTATTTAAAGTACAGGTATTGGGTAACAAAATTAATCCTTTTAGACTGTTTGGTAATCTATATTTCACGACTTGTTTTAATGGATACTATCTAAATAGTTAACTACGCTAGTTTTATGTAAACTTCCCGGAAATGAGGAATTTGGCAGCTAGTGAATATTGAATTTGTGCGACTAAGGCATGGCATTTACTATTCTATTTTGCAGCATTTTTTCCGAGTGTCGAGGTGGGAAGCAAACTGCGGCGGGGTAATAATGAAGTCAAAACGGTCACGCTTACCCGCACATTGATGGAAAATTATAATGAGCGGCGAGAAGAAGCAGCAACAGACGGCAGTTGAGCAGTTGAGCAGTTGAACAGTTGAACATTTGAGCCGTCGAGGAAAACGATGAAAAAAGAGCAGCAGATGATGGGGCAACCACGACGGACGTGAGAACGGAACGAACCGGCGAGAAACCCCCGTCCACACAGGAACGAAAAACGAGGCGTCCAGCTAAAGAAACTTGAAAACTTTGAAAACCTCGTACCTCGAATCGCCCAACCATGCAAATGAGACCGAAAGCGGCCGGCGATCGAGGGATTTCCATTTCCACTCCGGGGTTCTTGAGGTTGTGAATGGAACGCAGCGCTGGAGGAGCGGTGATAATGCAGCCCGTCGACAGCTCCCATCCATTAGTCCATCGATGTCGGAAATATACTATAACCTAATAACCCCGAGCACGTATGTGCATATCAACGAGATATGGATGGATGCTATACGCTCACTGAGTATAATGACTTTGGAATTTCTTTTATGATTTTGCTTACTTCTTTCGGCCGAAGTGCCAAACTGCTCACATTCTATTTATTGGCATGCTTAACCGACACATTACCTAATATATTTATATACTAAGTGCCAGAGAAGAGAAAGAAACCATAAAACACTAAGATCCTTGTATTCTTGCCACTCTAGCCACTCCACGGCATTAGGTTAAGATTCAATTGCATGGTGAGTAAATATTGATGTTCTCGGCCAGCCCCATTCAATAACGACTTCCTAGAACAGCCACTGGTATATGCACACCCCCTTGCTGACCAAGACCATAATTTGCATGTTTAAGTTGAGCCTGCCACCAGCACTTTCATCATCACCACCGTCATCAGCAGCGTGAGCATCATAAGAGGCGTTATCATTACCACACTACAACTCATCAACATCAGACAATCATGTATATGTATGTATGTGTAGTATGTTTGCATGGACGTGAAGCCGATAGGGTTTCTCGCCGGACGAGAGGCAGCTGCTTCTGCTTTTGACCAGTTGAGTTGACCACTCGACAACCTTGACACAAATGAATGCGAAAATCGAAGGACGAACAGGCGAGCAGCGAGCAGGGCGAGGCGGCCAACTGCAACTGGTCCGCAGGGGGCGTGGCCGTCATAACAACAACATTACCCACCACCAACTAGCCAGCAAGTCCGGGACGAGGTTGCTACCTGGGCCGAACTCATTTCCCTAATAGAACAATTATCGACGCCTACAGCCCGTGGGGCTATGCGATGGAAATGGTGCCATGGCACCACGGTCCTTTCGGCCGGGACTTCGGCACTTCGGGAACCAGGAGCGCAGCTAGTGTCCACTAACTGGATGTTGCGCTGCTATAACGATGATTGTGGCCATGATAGTGACGATAATTACTCAAATACCTTGCCGATTAAACGGAGGCCTTGAATTGCAGGTCTACGGCTGCCGAGTGATATAATATGTACATTAATGCGTTGGCTTTAAATGTAAACACTAAATAAGTTTGTGAGTTCAATTGGACAATACAAACGGAAATGAATTGGAGTCGTATAGTAGAAACAAATATGATAATACTGAACGAAGCTAAACTTTGCTTAGAGTATTGAAATCTCAAAGCATACTTATTACGCTATTTAAAAATAATTTATATCAATAAACCGACTACAAAAGACTTTAATTTCACTATGTATGCTCAAGTTCAGCGTTTAGTTTGCCATTCACTTGCGATACACAAGCTATTCAACCCGAAAAGACCGCCCACTTTCTCGACCAACCGCTCCATGTGACATCCACATGAGTTGCCTGCTCCTTGACCTTCTCCGTCCGCTTGCAAGTCAACTTTGGCGAAGAACAAGACAATGAACGCCGTAATGAATGAACAGAGGCGTCGCGGAGGGGCGTTTGCAAGTGCAAAAGCGCATTTAACGGCTTTCGCTGGCAAAGGAAATGCAAATAAGCGGCAAGGACGCGAACAAAGAAAAGGGGGGCGACTGATGAAAATAAAAAAAATTACGGAGAAGGCCAACCAGTGAACTATGTATGTGTTTTAAAAATGTCAAGGCTCCTTTTTGGTCGTGGGGGGTAAAGGAAAAGGTAGGGGAAGAGGAAGAGCACAATTTCTGGCAACCCTTTTGGCCAACCAGGCAAATCCATAAGCCAGCAAGCGCTCAAGGGCAATTCGGTTAACAAAACAATGGCCACGACGGCGAATCCGGCGACGACAATGTTGGCAATATGAAGCCTTTATACCAGG